GACCATGGCATGGGGGTTGGGACATCTCATTACAGCTTCTTGAAGTTGGGACTCTAGGCTGCCACAAGGCCTTTGCTGCTGTGGGCTGTGGCAGGGCCATGGTTTGTCTGTGGTGTTTGGCTGGAGTAGAACACTATGGTCTAAACATTTTCTTATTGTCTAAAGCTCCTGTGAGGTTGCCCTTGTCCTGGTCCTCTGGCTAGAGATGGTAGACGTTTTTTGTCTCTGGCTTGGTTTGTTTGGTTTTGGTTTTGCCTGTGCTCACTGGGGTTCTGGGTTGCTGGCTCCACCAGGATACAGCCTGGGATTGAAGAGGGAAAAGGAAACCCAGGGAGCTTCCTGCTGTGTCGTTCAAGTTCCCTGCCTGGTCTGTCTTCTTCTCCTCACTGTGCCGTCTTCTTATGTTTGCTGTGCTTAGCAGAAGGAATGGAGGAAAGGATTCTACTTCATTCAGCGGGAAGTGGAACTTAAAATACTTTTTAAGATTTCAGATCTGTTACTATAAACATTAAAAATCATATACTTCCCTAGAGTTTCTGGTGGACTCTTCTCTGGTGGGATTTTTTTCTCCCTCTGCCTATACCCCTTGAGAGTCTTTGCCAACTGCCTTCTAGAACTGTTATGGTTTTACATCATTTTACCTAAATCTGAACATAGGTATTTTATTCTATTAGTGAAAGTAAGTTTTAAATCATGCACACATTTCTGGAAATACTGTCATATCTTTGGGGGTGGCTGGAGGTCACCCCTCTTTTCTACCCTTTGAAAACTCATTCTTAAGGGCTCCTATTCCTTTCAAAATGCAAGGCTGTATTTATTGGAACAAGCATGAAGTGTCCTCTTGCCATCACTAAGAGTAGACTCTTAATTCAAGAACAGTATTCTTGGGCTGCAAAGGCCAACTAGAAGAAAACACTGTATGATACTAATTGTCTTAAAACTTAAACCAGCGCATCATTTGAGGATGACTTACTTTTAATAATCAACCTTTTTATGTCTCTTAAGTCTGATTTTATGGTTTCTAGGATGTCACATATACTATGACCTCATCCAGGCTGGCCCAGTCAGGGTAGATATTGCTACCATCCCACTGGATAGAGAATGTCATCAAATCTCAGAAAATGAAGCCATTTGACCTTATAGGAACACAGGGAATAATCTGGACTGGAACATACTTTTTCTGACAGTTCAGAGATCCCACATGGATGTGGATCCAAATTGAACCAACTTCCTTCCCAGATGTCTGTGGACGTCAGTGGTTCTCAGCTCAGGGCAATTCTGCTCCCTAGGGCACATTTGGCAATGTCTGGAGACATTCTTGGCTGTCAAGCCAGGCGCATGCTACTGGCAGCTAGTGGGTGGAGGACGGGGATATTGCTAAACATCCTACACTGCACTGAGCCGCTCCCACCACAGAGAAATACCAGGCCCCAAATGGCAACAGTGGCAAGACTGAGAAGTTCTAATATACATAAATCTCCGGCAACTTGTTTATGAGAACTGCTCCCAGACATAGGTTATGCATCAGCCAGGGGCATTTCTTAAGCTGATTTTTTTTTTTTTGTAACACTGCTTCTCAACAGCCTCCGAAAACAGGGGAGGGCATAGGCAAACAAATCTGGGAACGCCCCCAAAATATGTTCTTCTTTTGGAGATTTGCAATGCTCATGAATGGCATATAAAAATCCACTAATCAAGAAACCTTTTTATTTGTTTAACGCATCATTTCCCAAAATAATGTGCCCCTGCACTCTCTCCAGCCCTGCCTTTTGTTCTATGTAACAAAAATTAGCATCCAAATGACCTTCAGGAAATGCTTCAACTAAAGATTTCTAAAAGGAGTGGCCATTATCAATATTTCATTATTTTAAGAAAATTTTCATTTTCACACCTTTAGGAATAAGTACTGCAATAAAAGATAATATCATCAAATATGAAAAGTCTATTAACCTTAATTCAAAACTTATATTAAAGTGCTATTATAGAGAAAAAAATTAACACCTCTGACATTATTTTCCATCATAAGAAAAAATGCTTTGAGCCCACAGTACTGTCCTCAGAAACTCAGTTTACATCGCTGAGAAGAACCCAGATATCACAGTAGAAGGATGTCCTTCTTGGTTCCACTATAAACAGCATGCACCTAATACACCAACAGTATTAAAATCACAAAGTAAAAATCTACTTATGTGTTTACTTTAAAATATTTTTAATATAATAATGGCCCAGCACAATCCAGAGAAGTAAGAGAAACTTAAAATCGTGTATAACTATAGCACCCAAAGGAATGTGGTCTGTGAGCATCTTCGTGTCCACGCATGTGGGGTAAAAGCACTCTCACATTAGTGCTATCTGATTATGTTTTCTGTTCTAAGATCCATCCTTTTAAAAAGCTAAACAATATGTTGACAATATCTTTTTGGAGTTGATTAATTATTATAAATCCCTAACCACCATTTTAATGGCTACATAGTATTCTACGGGGGGGGTATAAACTGTAATTACCCTTTTAATGTTGAATATTGTTGGTTCATGCTATTCACTGTTTGCTATTCACAATTCTTCAGTTAACACCTTGTTTAATTCTTTTTTTTTTTTTAACTTTTGCAATCAAGTCTTTCCATTAGCCAATTGCTTAGTGGCTCAGAATATGAACTTTTTATATTTTGATAGATGTTTTTAACATAAATATTAGACAAATTCACAATGCACCAACATGTATTAAAATATCTATTTCTCCACTGTTGTCAATATCATTGCTAATGATATTTAAATTTTGTCATTTTAACAAATAAAAACTAATGTCCAATTGTTTTTATTTGCTTTTAACTGATTATGAATAAGTAAATATTTTCATAGCAAGTGATTATTTAAAGTCTCTGAGGATTCATGAAATAGACTCTAGAAAAGGCAGCAGTGAACCCATACACAGTTTTTCCTAATTATTCAATGGCTCATTCTAATTTTGCCACAGAGAAAAGCATAATGATAGGGATTTTTGTGATGACTATTTCTTTAACGTGTAAGCTTCGGTTCAAGCAGAAAAGGACAGAATTTGGGATGATATATTAATAAAATTGCATACTCTTTTTTAAAAAAAACTTAAACCCACGAGTAGACAGATGAAGACAATCAGTTAGGCAGGCCCTGTGACTCACCTAAGACAGGCAGTCGGCCACACGACCAGCTCTGTCCTCACTATCCAACGGTTGCCCTCAGTGTGAGGGGCTCATGTCTGCAGGAAGGTCCCACCTCACCTGCAAAGACTAAACCACACTTAATGACAGCTCATTGGCTGCTGTGGACCTCGTGAGCTGTGGGGGACTATTTATCAGTGCACTAAATCTTTGTTTAGAGCCTATTCTAAATGGCCAAGTGTTAAAAATCAAATTTTCATGGGAAAATGTTTAAGCAGAGACACAGGGAATTAACTGGTTTTCATTTTTCTAATCTTTCCAATGCAGAAATATTAATAGAACAAAACAGCTTTTTCAAGGCTAGCCAAAGTGAGGCAAGACAAAAAGAAAGATAATTTGTAGACATACAAATGAAATAACTGCTCTCTGCACCTCAAAATCACTTTGTCTTTGGTATTAATTGCTATTGAATTACTTAAAAGGCTCTAATGCCAACATAGAGACAATCTTTTATAACCAACACTGTACCTACATGGCACAATCTACTGGTGTGTTTGTAAAATGTCCAAAGACTTATGCAAGAAGTCATCATTAAGCCAATAAAAATGGACCTCATCTAATAGAATAATTTTTTTAGTGCTGCAAGTGCTTTAATTTTATTGACTGAGGTCCATAAACATGTTAACCTATGTTTACATCTTTCTATGCCTTTCTTTGTTTCATTTCCATGTAGAAAATGGAATTTTTGAGAGCTTATGCAAAATCTGAATAAAGAAATAAAAAAATCCTTATTTTTTCAGAGCTTATGCAAAATCCCATTTGCATAATTGCAATAAAAATGGAATGTGTATTTCCTCTGTGCTGGTGACAAAACTGTGAATGTATGGGTTTTCACATACTTCCTAAACCCTCAAAAGCAGAATTCCTCTAGTTTCTGAAATTAAGTAACATAAAGGTATAAAATGTTGTTAAGACACCATAATAACAAAAAATAAATTGCTTCTAAATAATGAGCCTTGCTTTGACTAGTGATTAATGTGCCATTTTACTTCCTCAGCAGGAGCAAAATTACACCTGTAAGATATTTTATCATGGCCCCGAGCAGCTGAGTCTGGAGTGAGAGTCCAGAAGATGTGAGCATCAGCATGTCCTTACCCAGGGGCAGCTGAAGAGAAGGAAAGAGCAGACAGAAAATGTAAATTGCAGATCTGTTTTAGAAACAGTTTAATTGCAGTTCTGTTTTAGAAACAATTTTCCCCTTCTCCTCCCTTCCCCAGCACCACAAATAGAACTGCCCATAATCAGTTTATAGTCAGCAACCTCAAATGGTTACACATTTTCATAAAATGGAAAGTAGAAATTTCATCTGCTAATTAACAGAATAAAATGCCAATAGGAGTTTGTCATCTTGCTATGGGCTAGGGAAAAAAAAACCACAAGCAATAAATTTCTTTCTAAACCTACAAGGGACATTGAGCCCAGATTTATAGTACTCATGTGACACAAGAATTGCAAAGTGAGCAATTGGCATAAAGCTGGCCCTTAACCAGTTGATCATTTAGAGTCCTGGCAAAATCAAACCAAAGCCATTCGATAAAGAAACTTCCAAAATTCAGGAAAAACAACTGCTGCCCCACCCAAAATGGTAAGCACAAACCCCTCCGGGAAGGTAGCAAGAGAATTCACAGGCCCAGGAAGTGGAAGGATAGATCAATCTGTAGAAAATAATATAGTGAGTTAGGTTAAAATGGTTAAGGAGTGTTCCAGATCGAAGATGGGAGCATAAAGCAGTTTTTCTTTTCCATTTTCTGGATATTCCTTAAAAGCAATAAGGAGACCAAGAAGCAAAATCACAAACTCTACCTGGGGAAACCCCTGAAACCACAAACTGATGGAGAGCAGCCAGAAGCAAAGGCGTTACCCAGAGCATGCGCAGAGTGAGCCTCTGCAGGGCTGCCGGGAAGTCCACAGAGCGCCTGCCTCGATTAGGAGGAGGCCAGACACCTAAACCCATGTCTGCCCCGCTGGGACGGGAGCTCAGGCTGCCAGCGAGAACTCTCCTGCGCCTGCTTTCATACCAGAAAACACAGGAGGGAAATCTAAATGGCGAAGCAGAGAGAAAGCCTCTCTATAGCAGGGATTCGCAGTAGCAAAGAAGAGAGACCCTTACCAATATCATAGCTGTCTAGTTCTATTGGCTGGGAGGAAATAAAGACGATACGAACTCACATCCACACACAAACAAATCAACAATAACCCTAAGTAAGAAGAACAATCCCTGAGAGGCTGGGACGGTGCTCTGTTTCCTCTCCTGCTTGTTATACCCTGGAAACAGCCAGCCCAGAAACATGGCCCTTCCTCAAATACGGGCAAGCACAGAGGGCCTAGCAATTATCTAGACCAAGATTCTGCAAGAAAAAGAAAGAGGTGAGGAGATGGGAACTAGGCCAGTAAACCACAGTTGAAAAACCTCACCAGCAAAATGCTTCCATGGGGAGTTGATAACAATTATGAAAAATGAATTCTAAATTTTAAAAACAAAGTGAATGAATCACCTGTATGTTGCAAGAGCACAAAACAAAGATAAAAAATAAATTCAGGGAAGAAATGGCAAGAAAACAAAAGGATGCATAATGTAAGTTGGCAGCACTCATTAAAGGAGTTTGAAAAAGAAAACAAATGTATTCCAAAAAGGAAAATGAAACTGGCAAATGCAAAAAAGGTTCACTGCTGAAAATGCACAGCAAGGCTCAGCAAAGAGCAACCCCAGGAGCAAACTCCACCCACCCAGCTTTTATAGAGCCCATGAGCAATGAGTGTTTTTAAATGGTTTATAAAAACAAAACAAAACCAAAGACTACATGACAGAGACCCCATGTGTCTACAAAGCCTAAACATTTACTAACTGGCCCTTTACAATATTGCCAACCTTTGCCAGAGAGAACAGAAAGGAGGAAAGCAAATCAATGAAGTGTAAATGAATAGTTTATAAAAAGAAAAAAATAATAAGAAAACAAATCAATGACAATATTAGGACATACTTCTAATGATTGTTGAACAAAAATTATGGAAAAAAAAGAGGAGAAAGAACAGCGGGGAAAGGAGTAAATAGTATCATACTGTTTTATGAATACTAGATAGTAAAATAGGAAGAGTAGAGTACAAACTGGGTAGGAGTGTAGTGGGAAGTCGAGAGTGAGGATTGAGCAATGTCAGGAGCAAAGTAAGAAGACAGAGGAAGTATAAAGACTGGTGTAAAGTAAGCAAGGGCACAATATTGACACTAATTACACACTTTCATAAGGATACAAATAGCTATAGACAATCATGAGAAAAAATGGTAAATGGATGTATAAATAAGAAGCTAAAAAGTTGATTAAAAGAAAGATAGAAAAGTAGCAAAAGAGAAACAAAAAGAGAAGGATAAATAGAAAAACAATAGCAAAATAACAGAATTCAACTAAACCATATCAATAACTGCATTAAATATCAATGGACAAAAATCTAATTAAAAGTTTGGGATTGCCACACTGCATAAAAAAGCAGGATCCAATGATAGAATCTATATGCAATGAGCAGAGCTTGTGCACATGTTTACTAGTGATTCTAATTCTCCAATTGAACCCTAACTAATGCACAACAAAAGCAATGTTTAAAAGGAAATTTACGGTTTAGGTGCCTGTATGAGACAATAAAATGGAGCTGTTGTTGTCGTCAGTGGCAATGCTGGCTTGGGCTTATGTCAACAAAGCCTATTTCTTGGCCACATTACATGTTAGCTGTGTTTGTTGGAGGCTGGGCTGAAGGAGCAGCCCCTCCTTGGGGAGTGTCATCTCCATGACAGAGCAAAGGGAGGACTGAGCAGAACTCTGTAATGCTATCAGGGAAGAAGGAGTAGATATTCGGAAATAATAATACAAGTACCACAATATAGCAACTGGCAGTTTCTAAACCATGGTACATACTTAACAAATATTTGCTGATGAAAAATTAAAATTGAGTGAATCTTTAAAGTAAATGTTATGAACGAAACTTCCTTTCTGAAGACAAACTACTCTTTTCGGTCTCATATTACCTTTTAAATATCTTTGTTTCGATCATAATTATTTACTTAACAGTTTCTGCTTCTAGAATTAATTTCTTGAGGACAATAATCTTGTCATGTTCGTTTTTGTCTCCCCTTCTAAAACTTGAGTTATTCACCATTCATTTATTCCCTTTAATTTCCAAATCTCACTCTTATTCACCCATCACAGATACTCATTAATGTGTCCAATGAATATCTTTTTGTTTGTCTCGATTCTTGAAAAATATATATTGTAATGTGTACGTTTATTTCATTGAAAATAAAGTTCTAAAATCAATAACCTCAGATTAAACTAGAAACTAGAAAAAGAAGAGCAAAGTAAACCTCTTTAAAGGAATGAAATGATAAAATAGTAAAAGTGAATGAAAAAGAGAAGTGACACATGACAGAAAGATAACAAATAAAAAATGAGTTCTCTGAAAAATTAGTAATATTGAAGAATCTGTAGCAGGGCTAATAAAAGAAACATTGTTTGTGCTGAACACATCTGAAACAGGATTTTAAATTTTCAAAGGCCGCTTCGAGTTCATGTCTCAATCAGCGACACCACTTGCATCCTGTGCTCAAGCACTGGGCTCCTCTGCGGACTTCTCTTTTGCTCACAACCCACATACAACACATGGGCACATCAGGCAGCTGGATAGCCAAAAATACACCTGGATCTGCATATTTCCTCCCACCTTTCCTGCCACCACCCTAGCAAAAACCCCATCGTGTATCACCTAAATCACTGCAATGTCATTGAAACTGACCTGCCTCCTTCCACCATGGGCCCCTTGCACTTAATTCTGCACAGAACATCCAGAATACTGTTTCTTTTAAAAAAAAAAATAATTTATTAATGTCTTATTATTTTTTATTTCAGCATATTATGGGGATACAAATGTTTAGGTTACATATATTGTCTTTGCCCTGCCCAAGACAGAGCTTCAAGCATGTCCATCCCTCATAAGGTGTGCACACCACACCCATTAGGTGTGAATATACACATCCTTTCCTCCCCCCTCCCACCTGCCCAACACCCGATGAATGTTATTACTATATGTGCACCTGAGTGTTGATCAGTTAATTCCAATTTGATGGTGAGTACATGTGGTGCTTGTTTTTCCACTCTTGGAATACTTCACTTAGTAGAATGGGCTCCACCTCTATCCAGTATAATACAAGAGGTGCTAGATCACTGTTGTTTTTTGTGGCTGAATAGTATTCCATGGTATACATATACCACATTTTATTAATCCACTCATGTACTGATGGGCACTTGGGTTGTTTCCACATCTTTGCAATTGTGAATTGTGCTGCTATAAATATTCTAGTGCAGATGTCTTTTTTATAGAATGTCTTTTTTTTTCCTTTGGGCAGATGCCCAGTAATGGGATTGCTGGATCAAATGGTAGTTCTACTTGTAGCTCTTTGAGGTGTCTCCATATTGCTTTCCACAGAGGTTGTACTAGTTTTCAGTCCCACCAGCAGTGTATGAGTGTTCCTCTCTCTCCACATCCACGCCAGCATATGTTGTTTGGGGACTTTTTGATAAAGGCCATTCTCACTGGAGTTAAGTGATATCTCATTGTGCTTTTGTTTGCATTTCTCTGCTGATTAGACATGTTGAGCATTCTTTCATATGTTTGTTGGCCATGAATCTGTCTTCTTTTGAAAAGTTTCTGTTCTTGTCTTTTGCCCACTTTTTAATGAGGTTGTTTGATTTTTTCTCTTGCTGATTTTCCTGAGTTCTATATAGATTCTAGTTATCATCCCTTTATTGGATGTATAGCATATGAATATTTTCTCCTATTCTGTAGGTTGTTTACTCTCGTCATAGTTTCCTTGGCTGTTCAGAGGCTTTTTAATTTGATCAGGCCCCATTTATTTATTTTTGTTGTTGCTGTGTTTGCCTTTGGGGTCTTCTTCATAAATTCTTTCCCTAGGCCAATGTCTAGAAGAGATTTTCCAACAGTTTTTCTAGAATTCTTATAGTTTCATGCCTTATTATATTCATCTTTCTTATCATGTTGTACAAACATCGACTCCGGGGAAGTTTAACACGCTTGCATCTGCCTTGACTGGCTTGCTATTCCTGCAACACAGCAAGCTCCTTTCTATCTCAGCTTTTTCACACTTGCTGTTCTCTTCGTCTGGACTGCTTTCTCCCCAATCTTGTTATGACTTGCTAATTTTCAGCTCTGTACTTAAAAAGGGAGCAAATCCCAGGGCACAGGCAGTCCAGGCTGAGGGGCAGGTGAACAGCAGAGTCCAGGCAGATGACACTGAGGGGCAGGTGTCCACTGCTGATCCAGGTCTGGGTATGGCACATTAGTAGGGCCACAGCAAAGTCACTGGGCTGGAGCCCAGGCTACTGGCAGGCTAAAGAACTGCATGCTCTTGGGCACAGGAGGCGAGAGCACATGCATGTCTGATCAGATGCTTCTTGCAGAGATGCAGCAGGAGCACCAAGGATGCAAAAACAGCGGTGCACAGGGCCAAGGAGAGACACCTGTCCTCCCTCCGGGTCCCCAGTGCCTTCATCCAAGCTTAGCTCACTTGTGCTCTCTAGAGAGGATTAAAAGGTCAGGGTGCAGGTCACTTGGCAAGGAAGGAAAGGGTGACTTGGAGCCAGGAAGAGAGACTCTAATAGCTGGCACCAGCCCCTCAGTCCTGGGTCTGTCAGTGAGAACAGCAGGATGTGTCGTCTGAGGAGCTTGTCACCTGTCCCCTTAGGAGTCACTCTTATGTTTATTTTGCTAGAGGTCCCTCTCTCATGGTATCTGATAATCCCTCAAATTTTGGGGTGATGCTTCCTTCCAATTTTTTTTGGTCTTATTTTGACTGTCCATACTGGCTTGAT